CACAAATAAGCTACATTTTTTCATTTATAGGTAAGATATTTGAATGCATTTTTACGATTTAACTCCTGACACCTGTTTGGTGTCACTTTAAGCAAATTAGATCTGCAGTTTAGATCACATGTATCTCAGGCAAAGCACTATTCTATATACACAAACATTTCCTAAAAAAGAGTGGAGTTGAAGATTATTATGAATCTCAATGGCTCATGGCATCGTGCACCTGCAATAATAATACCATGAATTAGCTCTTTGCCACTAGCAAATCTATAATTGGTGCATTGGTATAGCTAGAAATAGAAACGTGATAATCTTTATTTATTACTATATTCCAATGTGTGTTTCAAATCTAAACAACAAATGCTTCATAACAATATAATCATACAAGACTCTATTGTCACAAGTGACAGTCAGGAGTGAGAACCCCCAGCTGTACTAAGCATTGGCGGGAGGCTTTCAACTGGGATAAAGTCTTTAAACATACATATCCCCAGCACGGGGCATCATGCTGGGGAATGTGTTTATACAGATGGTGGGTGGGAAGGGTTAAAGCATAGCTGTTGCATGGTCGAGGGAAGCTAGCTCATGCCATAATGTGTATGTATGCACAACACACTATAACATTATGGTATAATTACATCTAGGTTGACCCTGGTTGCTGCTCCTTTCCCTTCTGCTACCATAAAGGCATTCAGGTTTAGTGTGTTCTTTTTTCAGCTATTGGGCTGATGACATAACTCCTGCACATGCCTGCTCGAGTTACACCGTCCTGGCACCTAGTTCCACTCTCAACAGATGCTAGTAATGTGTCAGGAATGTATACTGCACTGTCCATGTGCTGCAGATAGGGAACGCAAGAAAACAAAATGGTAGGAATAAGGGGAAATCGTTTTTTTTTTGTCAAAGGAGGCAGTTAAAGCCTCTTCCGTCAAAAGTTCTACCGCCAAGCAATTTTAAATATTGGTCAAATGCTAGCTGATCGCTATTTCAAATATGAATGACTTTGGGATAAAGGTTATACTATTGTGGAAGTTCGTGCAATCTGTGACTGGTTTACTATATTGGCACACATGGGAAACAACACAACATGCAGCTGGCTGAGGTCATTTTGCTGGGCCACTGACACACTTGTTCCCATGTGACGATATCGTTGTAAATGAGACAGAGGACTGGAATGTTGACGTGGAATTTACACCATTCATATCAGATTGTCCACTAGGCTGTCAAGTCGAACTCACATCTTTGAATCCACAAAAGTTCCTAGATGATATTGTGCAAATGAACATTAAAATAGCAAAGGATGTTAAAGGAAACCTGTACTGAGAAAAATATATAGTTTGCCAATGTGGAGCACTACACATGCTAAATATCTTTTATTCTGATTCAAAGTACTTTTTGGGTCACTGTCAGAGGTGAAGTAAGATTAGTGTTGGGTTCAACTTAGAGCTTAGGTTAAATTCGGAATTTAGTACTGGTGGGAGTTAAATTTTAGGACCGGCGTTGATGGGCTTTTGTCCACTTCCTACAGGTCTATAGAAATGCAAAGCCCACTTGAAGAAGGTCAACTGTATGTCAAATGTACCCATCAATGAATTCTGAATGATCAAAGTGATGCTATCCACCCAGGCCTGATGCCCTTCAACACAGATCTTTATGGACTCTTTTTAGGGAATTGGTTAGGTTTGGGGAGGATGTTAGGGCCTATTTAAGGGCTTGTCCACACCAATTGCGGTGTGTTCCTTTTATGAGTAATTGTCACACACTCTACTGCTTAATAGTAGCACTGTTCGTAGGTCTGCATGGGTTTTACCTGCACATCTTTCAACTTTAATGGTAGATCTATTACAAGCTCTGCAAAACCCCTACAGTTGGGTGACTGAAATGGCTCAGTGAAAGGGCTCATTCACATGGGTGCAGTGACCCGTACATCCATGCCGGTAGCCATGTTTAAATGCCTGGGAAGGTGCCTCCTCAAGACTACATATCCCAGCATGCATTGCTTCCAGCAAGCAATTATGTTATATTGTTCAGACGTTGAGTTGTAGTTCAGATGACAGGCTTAGTAAGAGTGGTGACACAAGTAAGTGCATATTCACAGGGCTAAGTGAAATTGTGTCACTGCATTGAGGAAGTACATCCTACAGGCATCTTCACTAAGTAAGTTTACAAATTCCAGGATTTTTGAGGTTATTAGGAGTGGGGTAGAAATTATGAAAATTCAATATAGAAATACATATTTAATTTTAGTTTTTGACCATAAATACCCTTTAATTTTGGAAAGTGCTGAGCAATCTGTTTGTACTATATATATTCTGTATACATTAATATTGATAACAAGAGGCAGCCTGATTTGCACTATATATATA